TAAAATAACAAGTAACTTATGACTTCAGGTGATAGTGCTATGAGGAAAAAGAAAGCATGAAATAAAAGAAGCTAAGTGGTATGTTCTGCTATTTTAAATAAAGTCACAGTAAATGACTGAGGAGCAGTATTTTTGAATATAGATTGAAGGTGTTAGGTGAGTGAGTGTGGCAGGTCTCTTGGGGAGAACACTCAGGCCGAGGGAACAGCAGGTACACATGCCCAGAGGAGGCTGGTGTGGCTAGCATGGAGAGAATAGGGAGGGGGTCAGAGGTGTGGTAGGAGACTAGATGCTGGTCAGATGGTATAAGGTGGTAGTTCTCTAGCTTAGCTACATGTTAGAATTACCTGGTGAGCTTTAAAATATACCAGTGCTTGGGACTCACTGAGGTTTTCCTTTACCTGCTCTGGGTTGGCATTGGATATCAGAATTGTTAAAAGATTCCTGTGGAATGACACCTTTTAGGCCAGACATTCTTCATGGGGCAGGGCACATGGATGTGGAACCTTGGCTTAGGCCTGGCCCTCAGTGAGTACTTGGGGTAGACTGGGGGTGTCCAGGGCTTTGGTGTGTGGTGTTTTTCCAATGGTCAGATCAAGTGCTCTGTGACTTCCCAGGTGGCAGTAGCACCTAGTGTAGGTGGCCATGGGGAAGCGATACTTCTGTGACTACTGCGACCGCTCCTTCCAGGACAACCTCCATAACCGAAAGAAACACCTGAATGGACTGCAGCACCTCAAGGCCAAGAAGGTCTGGTATGACATGTTCCGAGGTGGGTGTCCTCCAGCTTGGTAGCCAGGCTTATGGAATTCTGATCTCTGATCTTTCTTATTGGCAGACAGAGAACATTGTGGGTCAGTGACAGTCTGGGTCTAGGCTGTTCGAGGATCAAAAGAGTGGGAGGCTTGGGCCATTGAGACCCTCAGAAGAGCAGGCTGGAATATGAGCATCTTTCTCTGATGACCTTGGCACCTGCCAGGGCTCTCAGGATACTTGAAGCAGGTAGAAGGCTTCTTGGAGGAGGTCTGAGCCAATAGCTGAAATATGGGGGAAAGCTAGCCACATCATCTGGGAAGAGGGTTTGCAGAAAAGCAGGCAGCTATAAGCAAAGTACCAGGAGCTCTCAGGGTGGAGGATTGCTGGACAGAGCTAGCAAGGGGAGAATGGTAGGACTGAAGCTGGCTCTTAAGCAGAACAGCTTCAGGACTGCAGAAGCCATGGTAAAGTACTGGTGGGGGTGGGGGTGGGTAAGAGCTTGTCCCAAGGGCAGAGGGCAGCTTTTGAAGGGCTTTAGGCAGTAGCTGATATGACCAGACCTATGCATGACAGCATTAACTCTGCTGCCTCAGGAGGGTCCCAATGAGGGGGTCTGTGCTACAGCATGACTTCACTAGACATGCACATTGAGGAATAGCCAGGGAGTTCAAGACCATGGCTGGGCAGGCATAGAGTTGAAAGGGTGGGAGCTTGGCAGTGAGGTGAGGGAAGATGAGGAGCTTCTGGAACAAGCCTGGGTGGGGCCAGTGCGCCACAGGTTGAGGAGCAGGATTCTGAGACAGGGCTAAGATCCTAGAAGGAAGGAACAAAGTCCCAGTAGCCAAGAAGGGAGGAGAAGGGGACAGGGAGAGAGTTCTCTGGTTGAAAGAATTCATGAGATGGGAATGAGCATTTACTGAGTGCCTGCTGCATGCCACACACTCTCCATGGTTTGTCATTTGCTTCTCTTGGTAACTCCCTGAGTCAGACAACCTTGGCTAGGAGTTAAGATCCTCTGGAGATCTTTAAAAAAAACTGATCCTCTGACCCCACCCTCAGAGGCAGGTTTACTTAGGGTGGGGATCAGGTGAGGTATTTTTAAAGCCTTCCTAGAGTCTCCCTGGTTCAGATCAGGAAGCTGAGACTCAGAGGCTTGGGTGAGAGACAGTGGCCAGACTGGGCATGGCTGGGGCTAGGAGTGGCTACAAAGGCATAATTCAGGGGCAGGGGATCGCCAAGGGTCCTGGGAGGCCTCTGACCCTTGTGTTAGACAAAGGCTTGCTGCTGCCCAAATCCTGCAGTGGCCATGATTGTGCATTGGGCTAGGCCAAGGTCACCTTGGTACTTGCTTGTAGTCCCAGACTCTTAGCTGAGAATGGCTAGGTCCCAGAATCCAGGCCTTACTTACAGAAAAGGTAAAATTAGTAGAGCCACTAGGCTACTGGGTCCTTAGTGTCCTCAGTGTCTGCTCACATCCCAACCATGTTCAATCCTTAGAATAGCTCTGCAAAGGAGCTGCTGGGGCCACACTGGAACATGAGCTCTTTCCACTTCCTCAAGAGGCTGCCTTAGGGCTCCCTCTCACCCTGAGAGACTACCCAGACTTTAGGGAGGCACCTTGTACCCCAGCCTAGGCTCTACTCACTCCTGCTCTGCTCCTACCTTTGTTGCCTAGGCCAAGTCCTTTAGCCCTCAGAAGGGCTGATGGTCCATCAGCTATCGTCAGGACAAGCATGGGCCCTGGAGCAAGGCTGCCTAGGTCAGTCCTAAGGTGTCAAAGTGAGGGTCTCACTAACCGTGTGACCACAATATGCAGCTCACAAGGGACATGACAGGCTCAGTAATCTCATGGTAGGTGATGGCACAGTAAGTGTTTACTAAGTAGGAACAGTGCCCAAGGATCCTCAAAAGGATCGCCTCAGGTCTTTGTCTCTGGGCTCATCCATTCAGCACGTCCTTGGCTCCCAGACTGGCTCTGAACATTCAAAGGTAGATAAAACAGGGCTCCTCTTCTAAGAGACCTAGCACCCAGTTACCACAATGTGTTCTGGGCAGAGCCCCATCCTACCTAGGCCGCCATGCCCCACCTACCTCTCCCTCCCAGCTGCAGCCACACTGGCCACTGTGTGTACTGTTGCACGTACTGTCCCTACTGCAAGTGTGTCCTTCCCACTGTCCTTCCTGACCCCTGGGCCAGTCAGGTCATTTGGCTATGTGCTAGATATTTACCCTTATATCCACATGGATTAGTGTGACTGTTGGACCAGAAGGAAGGACCAGCTTTGACTTGTTCTCCACCTAAATCCTCATCCTCGCATGGTGCCTGGCACCCAGGATGTGCTCAGTAAATGTTTGTTAGATAAATGTCTGAATGAATGAGCAAACTAACATTGGGCACCAAGGGCATGTGTTAATATCAGGAGATGAAGGGAAAAGGACCAGTAGGGTCAGATCACAAGCAGCCTTGAATGCCAAGCAGAGGAGAAGGAGCAGAGGCTTCCTTGTACAAGGCCCAAGCTGGGGGTTCTCAATCCTGGGTGCACTTCAGAGTTACTAAAGAGCTTTAAACAATTCTGATGCTCTCCCCCTCTAATGAATTAAAGCAGAACCAGAGAAAGGGATAGGTCCGGGTATCCATCTACTTGAAAAGCTATCTAGTGATTTCGATGTGTGGATGGGGGAGCTGGGCAGCCTGGAACTCTTTACCTACACTGAGCCACCCAGCCAGGGCCCTTTGTCTAGGACTCAGGCTCAGTCCCATGCCAGGTTCAGTTGTCCTAGCCTCAGGGGTGGGAGGGTATCCTTGGCAACATCCACATACCCTCCACCAGCCCTTCTCCTCTGGGGGGCTGGCAGGTGAGGCAGACAGTAGTGTCCAAAAACACCAGCTGGGCAGGCTGAGTCTGATAAGCCCAGTACTGACAGATGACCCTGCCCTACCCTGCTGGCCCCACCCACAGCTCTGCCAGGCCTCCTGGGCATGAGTCTTCTGATACCCAACTCCCAACCCTGCCAGGTGGTTTGTGAAGCCACCCAGCTACCAGCTGCCTTGCCCTGGGGAAGGGAGGAGTCCACACGGACATCAGCCATTCACCCTGACGCTGGGACCTCAGCAGCTTCCGGGGGGGGGAAGGGGAGGCACTTCAGATTTGCATACATCAAGGTGTTGCCACTCCTTGACTGTGCCCTTGGGCAGATCACTTCTATCTGAACATCACTTTTCCCCTCTGGAAAATGAGGATGTTAGTGCTACTCAGTGGGTTTGTGAAGAAGAAACGAAACAAGAGCCAGGCACAGTGGTGTGTGCCTATTATCCTAGTTACTGAGAGGCAGCGGTGTCCTTAGCGTCTGCTCACATCCCAACCATGTTCAGTCCTTAGAATAGCTCTGCAAAGGGGCTGCTGGGGCCATGCTGAACATGAGCTCTTTCTCCTTCCTCAAGAGGCTGCCTTAGGGGTGGTGCCTGTGGCTCAAGGAATAGGACACTGGCCCCATATACCAGGGATGGCAAGTTTAAACCTGGCCCCGGCCAAAACTGCAAAAAAAAAAAAAAAAAGAGGCTGCCTTAGGGCTCCCTCTCACCCTGAGAGACCACACAGACTTTGGGGAGGCACCTTGTGGTAGAGTTGCTGGAGCCCAGGAGTTCTGGTCTGTAATTTTCTGTGCTGATCAGGTGTCCACACTAAGTTCAGCAACGGTATGGTGACCTCCTGGGAGCTGGGGACCAGAGGTTGTCTAAGGAGAGGTGAACCCACCCAGGTTAGAAATGGTCAAAATTCCCAAGCTGATCAGTAGTGGGATTGTGTCTGTATAATTTAAAAATTAAAAATAATTTAAGAAATGAAGGCTGGGGCCAGGCACAGTGGCTCACACCTGTAATCCTAGCACTCTGGGAGGCCAAGGCAGGCGGATTACCTGAGCTCATAGGTACAAGACCAGCCTGAGCCAGCTCGAGACCTCGTCTCTGAAAATAGCCAGGCGTTGTGGTGAGTGCCTGTAGTCCCAGCTACTTGGGAGGCTGAGGCAAGGGAATCACTTAAGCCTAACAGTTTGAGGTTGCTGTGAGCTGTGATGCTGCAGCACTCTACCAAGAGGGACAAAGTGAGACTCTGTCTCAAAAAAGAAAAAAAAAAAAAAAAGAAAGAAAGAAATGAAGGCCAGGAGCAGTGGTTCACGCCTGTAATTCCAGTACTCTGGGAGGCTAAGGCAGGTGGATTGCTTGAGCTCAGGAGTTTGAAATCAGCTTGCATAGGAGTGAGACCCCATCTCTCCTAAAAATAGAAAAAATTAGCTGGGTATCATGGTAGGCACCTATAGTCTCAGCTACTTGGGAGGCTGAGGCAGGAGGATCTTTTGAGCCCAGGAGTTTGAGGTTGCTGTGAGCTAGGCTGACACCAGGGTACTCTGTCTCAAAAACAAACAACCAAAACGAAGCAAGAAAAGAAACAAGCAAGAACTGCTGCCATTTGCTGAGTTCTTGCTCAGTCCTGACTTCACATAGTACCACCCACGGAACATGGTGCAGAGTCAGTCCTCTGCCCCAGAGACTTGTTTTTGTCACTTTCCCAGTAATTCTAATGTGCCACCAAGGTTGGGAAACCATGGGCTTCCTCTACCACATGCTCTCCATTCATTATCTTACTAAATTTTCACATCAACCTTGCTAGGTGGGTATTTTCATCCCATTTTACATATGGGGAAACTGAGACTTGGAGAGATTAAGCAGCTTGCTTGTGGTCACATGTAACTGAGATTTGAGTTCAGGTTTCCTGGACTCCAGAGCCCAAGATCTTTCTTTAACCTTGTAGAAAAGATGATGGGCAAATGTCCAGCCAGGACTGGCCTCTCCTCTCTCCCCACGGTGGATATCAGAGCCTCTGAGTCACCATCCTTAGATTTTACTCACTTTACTCACTGATTGATGCTTTGGCTACTGAAATCTAAAACCATAACCATATGATGAAAATAAAAGTAGGAAAAATCAGAGAAAACCAAGTGTGATTGGGTTTTCACACCAATTTCTGATCACAATCACAGTGATTGCCAAGAGGTCCTGTCTTTAGGGGCGGCGCCTAAGGCTCAAAGGAGTAGGACGCCAGCCCCATATGATGGAGATGGTGGGTTCAAACCAAGCCCTGGCCAAAAAAACTGCCAAAAAAAAAAAAGAAAAAGTCCTGTCCTGGATGGTGGCTGGTCTGGGCCTGAGCACTTCACAGCTGGTAGAAGGAGGGCAAACAGAAAGCAGAGATTGCAGTCATATCTGTGGAACAATTGCTGGACCCTGGGTTTGGCTGATGGGCTTTCTGGGCTCCAGGATTTATTTAGATTTTTTTTTTTTTTTTGTATTCTATTTTGAAACAATTATAGAATCACAGGAAATTGCAAAGACAACACAGAGAGGTCCTATGGTGCCAGAACTAAAAGAAAAACAAAACAACACTTCCCAGGTGATTCCATTGTGCAAAGTTGAGAACCTCTAACCTGAAACCTGGTTCTTGCCTTTGGCTGGTCCTTGGCAGGGGGGAAGGGCTGAGGTTACCTGCAGCTCACACCCTCTGCCCAGTAAACCCACCTATGGCTGTCCTTCATCTCTTTACACTCCTCTGTGGATGGAGAACTCTTTATTTTTTTCTTGAGACAGTGTCTCACTCTGTTGCCCTGGCTAGAGTGCAGTGGTGTCATCATAGCTCACTGCAACCTTAAACTCTTGGGCTCAAAAGATCCTTCTGCCTCAGCTTCCTGAGTAGCTGGGACTACAGGTGCACACCACTGTGCCTGGCTAATTTTTTTCTATTTTAAGTAGAGACAGGGTCTCACTCTTACTAAGGCTGATCTTGAACTCCTGAGCTTAAGCGATTGTCCTACTTCAGACTCTCAGAGTTCTAGGATTACAGGTGTGAGCCACCGTGCCTGGCCTAGGGAACTCTTTTCCTTTCACACTGTTGTGTCCATGACTCTGTGAGTCTCTACCACCTCCCACTGCCCTTGGTAGAGTGTCTGAACCCAACCCTTATCTTCTCTTGTAGATGCAGCTGCCATCTTGCAGGATGAGCAGAATAAACGGCCCTGCAGGAAGTTTTTACTGACAGGTAAAGTGTTCTGTTCAGCTCTGGTCCCTGTAGGGACCTGCAATGACAGTCTGTCTTGCCAGGACCTCTGTAGAGTATCTGAGCCCACTTTGTAGCCATGGCTCCACCTGTAGGGCTTTCCCAGAGGTTGTGTTTTAGGACTTGCCAGGGCCTAGCCCACAGCTCTTCAGACCTAGAGTGATTTAATCAGCTGCTTGGTGTAAGTCAGCACTAGGAGATTGCAGCTACATCTGGGAGACACTGATGAGCATAAAAGACTGGCTGATTAAGTTAGTCTAGGAGCCTGACTTGCTCCATGGCCTCCTACAGGCAGGGCTGGAGATAGTAATAAGTCCAACGATCTGAGGAAGTTCAGAATCAGAACCAAGGTGTTGATTAAACTGCTCAATATTCAGCTTAAAATGTGTATAGTTCAAAGAGATAAAAACCTCAGTAAGTACAGGAAACAAAGGTAAGTAGTGGTAGGGAAAATAAGACAAAACTAGGAGAACAGTCCCCTCTGTATTTGTCCAAGAGGTCCTGTGTACTTTCTAAGGGTTTGGCCCTGAGCTTCCTAACAGACAAGGCAAAGAGGAAAACCACGATGATTCACATGGTCTGTAAGGGAGCTTAGCACTGGGGACAAAAATGTCCCTACATGCTGCTGTTGAGCTAGAGAAGATGGGTGAATGGTCATGTTTGCTTCGAAAAGGTGGCTGCCTACAGGCACCAGGCCTATAGATGGGGCTCCTAACAGACTTCACCTTGATGTGAATACACCACTGGTAGATTCACTGGGTTAGGATACATTTTGTTATCCCTGGTTGAAACTGAGGCCACCCCAGACTTTGGTATCATCTTGGCAAAGCTGCCATTGAAGCCTTCCTGAGGAGCATTCCCAACTGCTGAGGTGAGGCAGTGGGCGGGCAGGGGAACAGCATGTGCCATGGCCTGGAGTGGAGAGAGGAAGCATGACCTTTCAGGGATCCACATGTAGTTCATTGAGACATGGAGTGGTGGGGCTGGTGATGAGAGACAGCCTGCAGAGGCTCATGGGGCCCAATCATGATAGAATTTGGTTGGCTGTGACCCCCAACCAAAGGGCTTCCAGGGAAAGGTCATGAGCAGGGCATGTGGATCAGATAGGTTGCTCTGCCAGCTGAGTGTAGAGGGGGCCAGAGAGTCCCAATTTTTCATTCTGGGCTAGGATTGCTACTCTTTAGGTCCTAAAGCCCTGCCCCTAAAACCACTGGGGCCCCTCATCAAGGTGCCTCTTAGCTCACGGTGGGAGCAGCATGTAATTCTGTCTTTCTGTCACAGGCCAGTGTGACTTTGGCTCCAACTGCAGATTTTCCCACATGTCAGAGCGTGACTTGCAGGAGCTGAGTATCCAGGTGGAAGGTGTGTCTCAGGGGGTACCCTGGGCTAGTTGGGAGGGTATGGGGTACAGGGGAGCTGCTTTGTGCCTCCCACCTCTCCCTCATTGGCAGCCAGCAGCTCTGTAGGGTAGGCCAAGGGCTACTTAGCATGACTGGGAGCCTGGTTTGGGGAGGGTATCAGTAATAACCTCTAAATGGCCTAGACATGACTAGACAAGCTTGAGGCTGTGTTCTCTGAAAGAGAACTATACATGGCTTCTTGCCCAAGAGCCCTGAGGATTATGCTTCAGCCTCACCTGGCCTTGTGGCTGCCCTCGAAGTCCTTCACAGATATACTCAGGCCCCCAATGAAGAAACATACTGAAAAAAAAAAAAAAAGAAAGAAACATACTGAGTCCCCACAGAGTGATGCTCTGGGACAAGGGGATGAAGAAAGCACTTTCCCCACCATCAGGAATCTCATAGCCTGGTGATTCTAGGGAAGGGCAAGTTCCGCTTCCATGGAAACTGGCCTGTCTGCCTTTGGGAAATTCAGTTCTCACTTCTTTTTTTTTTTTTTTTTTTGAGACAGTGTCTCATTTTGTCATCCTCATAGAGTGGCTCACAGCAACCTTAAACTCTTGGGCTCAAAGTGATTCTCTTGCCCCACCCTCTCTAGTAGGTGAGACAACAGGCACCCACCACAGCACCCGGCTATTTTTTAGAGATGGGGTCTCGCTCTAGCTCAGTGGTGAGTTCATACAATCCACCTGCCTCAGCTTCTCAGAGTGCTAGGTTTATGGGTGCCAGCTACCACTCCCAGCCCACTTCCCACTTCTATTTGAGAATAAGGACACAGTCTTTGTGTGTGCCCTGCAGCAAGTTAGAGGCCCACTCTAGGTCTTTGAGGGCCACCACTCATGCTTCTCTGTCCAGTTAGCCTCAGGTAACCAGCAAGTGTCTGGGAAAGCTTCACCTTTATCCTCATCCCCCTGTGGGCAGAGCTGGCAGGCTGTTCCCTGCTTTGGGAACCTGATAGTGGTGGCAGTGTGGCTACAGCCCCGGCACCAACACAGGGTTTCCAGGAGCTTTCCCTGGGTGGAAGTGAGGCCTTATGGGGCCAGGCAGTGAGTCCTGGCAGCAGTGGCATCTCCAGATCTTTGCTGGCTGTGGCTCTCAGGGAATGGCTAGCCTGTGGTGGGGAGAGCACACGCAAGGAGTCTAGAACTAGAGATGACACCTGATAGAGACAGGGTTAGTGACAGGCCTGAGGGGGCTAGGAACAGAGGTGTGGCCCAACTGGCAGCTTAGACAGTCCTGGCTCTACCATGTCACCTGTAACCTGGGCACATGGCTTAACCCCTTGAAAGGAGTGTTCTAAGTAGTCAAACGTAATTGCCCACACGGTGTTAGCCCAAAGCCTAGCTCATGTGAACTCCATTCGTTGCTTGGTTTTAATTCACTGAGCAATTCTTTTTGCTGTGATAAGATAAACCAGGAAAATTGAGGCTCATTACTCTGCCCAGGAAGCAGATGGAAGAACCGAGATTCAACCCTGTTCTACAGCCTGTGCTGCCTCCCCATGCCCCAAAGGCCAGGCTTCTTATAGGCACCATCTTGTCTCTCCAAGTTCCCAAAAGGTTGGGAGGCAGCCAGTCTGGTGCTATCTCCATTTGATGTGGAAACAGAGTGAGGCTCAGAGTACTGGGTGTGCAGATGGCCTGAGGAGGTGGCAGCATAGTGGGGACAAGTCAGCAGCTCTGCTCCAGGCTTCCCAGCCTATGTCCTCCTGAAAGGTTTCTGCAGCAGCCTAGGGCTTTGTGGAAGGGTAGGATCCAGGTGGGCATGAGTATATCCCTCACTTGCCTTTGTCTCCTTATCACTCCCAGAGGAGAGGCGGGTCAGGGAGTGGCCACAGGACACTGCCGAGCTCCCCGAAGGCCATGTGGAGGACTGGCTGGAGAAGAGAGCTAAGCGGCTTAGCTCAGCACCAAGCAGCAGGTACAGGCCCTATGGGTCCCCTCCTCCTACACCCTCGGCCCTGTGGGTCCCCTCCTCCTACACCCTCCAAGAGCAAGACCCCTACCTGCCTTCCTGAAGCTGAAGAATCTCTGAGAACTGCCTAGGCCCAGGGGCCAGACACAGATCTCACAGAGCTCTCTGAGGGGCCATGTTGGTTCCCAAGCCCTAGCCAGAGGCTGAGTTGTGTGTTTTTGAAAGTGCCTATTCCCCATAGCTTAACCCCTTACAGAAGTCTGGGCTGGCTGAAGGGAAGGCAGGTAGCCAAGCATATTTGACTCATCCTCAAGTCCATTGCTAGAGGACTGGGTCTGAGCTATGTTTCCTGAGCCCCCAGTGTGCCAGTCACTGTGCTACCCACTATCCCCTGTAGGGCCCTGTAGGAGGGAAAACTGAGGCTTACAGGAGGAGTGTGACTTGTGCAAGAGTACATAGCTAGGAAAAGGCAGATTCAGGATTGAAGTGTGACAACAAGGTTATTATCCCACTGTTACCCTTAGGAAAGGATCTGGGGGTGGACCTAGCACTCCAGGTGCTCTGAAGTGGACAGGGCGCCCTTCACTTCTTGCTTGGGGAGTGCACTGAGTCCGGGCTGTACTGAGTGCCATCTCTGGTCCTCCTCTTTGATGGGAGGGACTCAGCTGACACTTCATGTCAGCAGATCAAGGCACAGGGGCAGGCTGATCCTCCAAAGTCAAAACAGCATCACAGCTAAAACCAAACCTGGGGCTGTTGGGCCCTTGCAGCAGGTGTTGAAGGGAAGGAGTGGGGGAGATGAGGCCAGAGGTGCTCACAGAGCTATGTAGTACTTGAGACAGGTTTGTACAGGGCAGAGCTTCTTGTCTTCCCCATCCCCCAGGGAAAGGAAATAGTTAAGATATTTTAAAATTACTTTTATTTACCTTTAAGTCTGTGCCCAATTTTTGTACCCCAGCCTTAAAAGACTGATTCAAATGTTGGAGTATGATGTCCCCTCCTGTGGTCCTGTCTGAGGGGTTGTGACTTTGGTCATATGGATGTCCCCCTGGGACTGACTACCATGCAAGGATGCACATCCTGCACCCCATGCATCAGAAGGCATGGGCCTTCAGAAGCCATCTAGAGAGCTCTCCTTGGACCTGGACCTCTGTGGGCCCCATACTCTCTCTGCCCTTTACTGTGTTACCCTGGCCATGATCCTCCCTGCTCTGGTTCTGTGGTATCCTCCGCCAGAAGTTCATGACACAGATCTGGGTACCTCTTGGGCCTGTGACAAGAGTTCAGGGAAACACTTTGGCTGGACTAGAGTGAGCGTCAGTGGCTGGGATAGAGATGGGTGCCCCGAGGTCCCTGCCTGGGTGACAGACAGATGTGTCCCAGTGCTATCTAACACAAGGCACTATAAATATGAGATTTGGAGAACTAGGGAACAAGATGGAGGAGCTGAGGCTGAGTGACTGGCTTGAGTCACAAGTAGAGGTGGTGACCACATGACAGTTGGGTTTGGTGCTCACAATGTGCCTGGCACTCAGCCCTGGACACTTAGGGAGACTGGTACCCCCACTGCACAGCTGAGGAATCATAACTTCTCCAGGATGTTTGTGGCTGTCCTGTTCACACACTAACTGCCTTCACTTGAGAGAGAGCTGGGTCTCTGCTCTGTCTAGACCCCAAGCTGCCTCTGCCACCATGTTCAGACTGGAATAGAGTCTACAGCTGAGGTCCACCCTCAGCTCTTAGGGGTCTGAGCCCTGCCTTTCTAGCCTCCTCCTTCTGGCACCCAGCCTGGCATCCTCCAGAGAATACAGTGTTTCTCTCTCAACAGCTACTTGTTCTCTGTGCCCACCTGCCTGGCCACCTGCCTCCTGAGGGCTCAGAGCCAAGATGAATTAGTCTGGGTGGAGCAAGCCTGTCTGGATTTGAGAAGAAGGGTTTTGGAAATGAGGTGACTTTATTCTTTTTTTTTTTTTTTTTTGAGACAGAGCCTCAAGCTGTCCCCCTGGGTAGACTGCTGTGGCATCACAGCTCACAGCAACCTCCCAACTCCTGGGCTCAAGCGAGTCTCCTGCCTCTGCCTCCCAAGTAGCTGAGACCACAGGCATCCGTCACAATGCCCAGCTATTTTTTGGTTGCAGCTGTCATTGTTTGGCGGGCCCGGGCTGGATTTGAACCCACCACCTTAGGTGTATGTGGTTGGTGCCTTAAGCCACTTGAGCCACAGGTGCTGAGCCTATTCTTTTGTTTTTGTTTTTGTTTTGAGACAGAGCCTCAAGCTGTCATCCTGGGTAGAGTGCTGTGGCATCATAGCTCACAGTAACCTCCAACTCTTGGGCTTAAGCGATTTCTCTTGCCTCAGCCTACCAAGTAGCTGGGACTACAGGGCCTGCCACAATGCCCAGATATTTTTTGGTTGTAGTTGTCATTGTTGCCCAGCAGACCTACGTTGGGTTTGAATCCGCCACCCTAGATGTATGTGACCGGCACCCTTGCCAACTGAGCTACAGGCACCACTGTGACTTTATTCTTATTTTTGTCATTGTTGCCTTAAGTTTCCAGAGCCCTCTCCCTGCTGGCTGGTCTCAGGAAACATGACCCCTATTCCTGTTCCCTGGGCACCAGGCTTTGACTCCTGCCCCTACATTCATGGCTCCACTCTGTGCAACTCAGGGGAGGAAGTAGATTCAAGTCCCAGGCCATCTCAGTGTGTTCCTGTACCCCACTTCAACCGGGAAGCAGTCCTGCAGGCACAGTGCCCTCTGTGGCCTTCCTGGCCAGCCACAGCCCCCCCCCCTTGATCTCACCTCCCCTCTCCCCTACAGTTCATTCCTCCACCCCATGGCTCTAAGGACCCCTTGCCGTCCCCTGCTTCCTGTACTTCCCGTTGGTGGGGTCACCTTCTCATCTCTTACAACTGGCCTCTCTATCAGTTGCAGTGGACACTTGGCAGCTTCTTAGATGTGGCAGTCATTTGTAATTTCAGGGCACCTTGTGCATGCTGTTTCCTCTGCCAGAAACTGCCTCCCACCTCTTTGCCTGGCAAAGCCAGACTTAATCCTGGAAGCTTCTGCTAAGACATCAATCTTTCCAGCCCCTGATATCCCCCTCATAGCCTGAGTAGGCTTGGGGGGCCCAGCACATGTTGACAGCATGATTGGGCATTTAAGGGAGCAGGGACCCCAGCCTGGATAACTATTCCCTGGGTGTTAGTGCAGGGGGCCCTTGTGGGTACTGCTCTGGAGACCTGGAGCAGCTCCTCTTTCTCTGTGGGTGTCAACCTTCTTCTCTATGGATGGCTGCTTGGGCCACCTCAACTTGAGGGATCCAAGACCCATAGGCTGAGCAGAGCCCCCAGGCCAAGCCAGCCCTCCTTGTAAATATAGGGACATGGCAGCTCCACAAAGCCCAGCCTGGCAACACTGTTATTCCCCTCAGCAGACTGACCCTGAGGAATCTGCCAAGAGCAGCCGGCAGGAGGGAGGGGCTGGCCTCAGACATGGACTAATCCTCCAGTGAGGCCAGTGCTTTTCCCTGCTTTCCATTGTTGGCGCTTCAGATTGTGACTTTATCCCTCTTAATCTCCCCTTTTGGACCCCTCACTGGCCCCGGCTGCCATTCCAGCCCATTCTCCTCCCCAGACTTTGTTTCCTTTTGATTAGGACCACAGCTGGGGAAATAGAAGAGAGTTGCTCCTGTCCTTGGACACAGGGCAACCAGGTCACAAGAGAAGCCCCAAGCAGAGTAGTTAGTGCCACATATGAACCTCAATGTCCCTGCACTGTCTACTGTGCAGGGGCCAGAGGAGTGTACTCACGTCTGGGGCCCTGGCCATGTGCCATTGTGTGAGCAGACACAGGGTTTGCCTTCAGGGCAGGCAGGGCTCTGGGCTGATCTGTGAACCCAGGAACTAGCTCCTAGCTGCCCAGGAATCAGCCCCATTTTCTAAAGGAAGGGCCCACAGCCCAGGGGAAGGGGCTTCCCAGGATCACACCCTCCCAGCGGGAGCCCCACTGTTCATGTGGTCCTGCGGGGAGTCCAGGCTTGGCTGGTAGCTGGGGCACTCCCTTCCGGCAGCTGTGGAGGCTACCTCTCCCCCTTCTTCTTGCGGCTGGCGGAGTTTATGAAATCTCCCTAGTGCCATAAATCATGTCAAGAGCTGCTTTCTGCACTTTCCAGCAGGCAGCAAGCCATTCTGCAAGGGATGTCCCTGTCCTCTCACACCTGGAAGCCCTAAGGGCTGCACCTAGGGCTCCCTAATCCTTGACTCTGTGTGGCCAGATAGGCCCAGAGAGGGACAGGCTGTCTAAGTGCAGCGGGGCCATTTCCAGGACTTCTGAGCCCAGGCCCCCATCCCCACCTGCACCTTGGAGATCTGAGGCCTTCACATACCTCACAGATGGCCCAGGCCCTTCAGTAGAGGGCTAGCCAGTGGGCTCAAAAGCCTGCCAGGGCTTCCCCTCCCCAAACACTGGAGTAGGGCTGGGTGGGGGGCTGCTGGGGCAGAGGGAGCTGAGGGGAGAGAAGAAGTATCTGCAGCCATGTGTGGATTGTATTCCAGTCCCTTTTGCTCCACCCTGACAGTGTCACTTGGTCATATGATGGGCTTCTTAAACCTCAGTTGTCTCATCTATAAAATGAGGTTCTAGTAAGGATTCTTTTTTTTTTTCTTTTGAGACAGAGCCTCAAGCTGTCGCCCTGGGTAGAGTGCTTTGGCATCACAGCTCACAGCAACCTCCAACCTCTAGGCTTAAGTGATTCTCTTGCCTCAGCCTCCCAAGTAGCTGGGACTATAGGCGCTTGCCACAATGCCCAGCTTTTTTTTTTTTTTGTAGTTGCCATTGTTCTTTGGCAGGATTCACACCCGCCAGCTCTGGTATATGTGGCTGGCATCTTAGCTGTTTGAGCTACAGGCACTGAGCCTCCAGTAAGGATTCTTGAGGATTCTCTGTAAGCCACAATGTCTGGCCTAGTCAGTGGTGGGCTCTGGGCACTGTGGCATAGATACCCTGTCACTCCCTGGTCAGATGAGCAGCCAGGGAAGTTCAAAGTGCTCAGAGGATCAAAATGCTTCAAACCTGAAAAAGGCCCTGTAGGGCAGGCCAAGTGGGGCTGGAGTCCAGAAGGATATGAAGCAGGTGGCGGGGTGGGGAGACTGCCTCTGAACCTCCCTGCGCCCCTCAGGTCAGGGTGGTCAGGCTGGGCACAGAGGATGCCTGTCCTAGGGCTTCAAATTGGCCCTGAGGTCCAAGGGATATGAACTTTGAGGAGGAGGAGAGTGGGTAGCATGAGAAATGAGGCTTTTAAAAAAATTTTAGACAATATTTTTTTCTGATTTCAAAGGCTTGCATGCTTGTAAAACTTTTGAAAAGTATAAAGAAGTAAAAAATTCACCCATAATTGCACCACTCAGAACCACTGTTGACATTTTTCTGTGTCTTCTAGGGTTTTTTTTTATGCATTTATATATTTTATATATCTTTAAACAAAAATAGTATCATGCTATATACAGTATTTTATAAGCTGCTTTTTTCTCCCTACTCACATAGTATGTCTTTCCTTGTCAGTGCATACAAATCTGACTTAATTTTTACAGAGGGTGCATAGCGTTCTCGGCTGTGGACGTGCGTATGTGTTTAATCAGTCCCCACAAGTGGGCACTAAGGTTATTTCTATTGTCTCACGGTCATTGCTATAGCTTAGTCTCTGCCTACAACCCCACTAGTTCCTTGGGCTCAGTTCTTAGAGGTATGATTGCTAGCTCAAAGGGTCTGCATGTTTTCAAGGCTTAGCCTTCCAGAAAGGTCTTGTAGGCAGCTGACCCTTTCCACAGCTTGGGGGGTGGGGGCAGGTGAGCCTGGGCGGTGCCCTATTCTAATTCTCTGCCCCTCTCCTTTTCTCTAGGGTCCAACCCATCAGAGCCACTGTCTTCCAGTACCCCTTGGGCTGGCCACCAGTTCAGGAGCTACCCCCATCCCTGAGGGCACCCCCTCCTGGGGGGTGGCCCCTGCAACCCAGAGTCCAGTGGGGCTGAGCCCCTTACTCAGTTCTCTCATCAGTCACAGTGAAGCCAAGGAGAAGCTGAGCCCCCTTCCTGCTATGCTCAAGGAGCCTCTGAGACTATTGGCCTAGGCTCCGGAGGCCCCAGAGCCTCAGTCTCCTCCACCTGTCTACCCTCCCTCATGTGGTGTCTTGAGAGGATGGGTGAGAAACCTCCCAGATGTTCATAAAGTCCTGTCTGTCACCACAGTGGTCTGGCGGTGCTTCCTCCTGCCCGGTGCTGTGGGCCTCATTGCCCCTTTCAGAGGTTGGGCCAGGCTAGAATGAGATGTGATCTTTCCCAGGGAGATCCATATCACTGCCCTTCTCCCTGGGGACCAGTGGAGGCCCAGCACAGCCAGACATAGGATGTGCCAGTGTGGCTGTGCCTGTCGCCTGGTAAGAAGTGACTCCAGGTCTGAAGAGAAGAGCCCAAGGACTCCGCTGCTGTCCCAGCCCAGGCAGAATTCATCTGCCCAGGCTGAGTTATGCCCAAGTATTTGGGATGTCACAGCAGGGGCAGGGACAGGAGCTGGTCTCTAGCCTCCAGGGGGTAGAGAAGTGGGGGGACCCAAGAGGGCAGCCTTGGTCTTGGGAGTACAGCCTGGCTGAGCCTTGTGGCACTGATGGTACTGGGTTGTGCCAGCTCCTCACCCTAGGGGTAGTGTGGGGGCCCTTCTAAAGTTTAGTCCTAAAGGGGCCCCTCCAGGGAGGTAGCTAGCGGGGACCCACACAGCCTACCTGGGCTGTTCAGAGCCTTCAGGCCAGCTCTCTTATCTCCCTCAGTTGGACTACAGTTCTAGGTTCTGTGCAAGGGTGGTGGACAATGTGGCTGTGGGTCTCTGAGCCTCTAGTGGGGGGCCAGAATATGAGGAAACTCCAGGGTCACCTCACATGCCCCATTTTCCACCAATTTCTGCCTTTCCTACAAATCCCTGTTGAAGTGGGAACTGAGGCCAAATCTTGGGCCCTCTGAGCCCCTCAGGCTCCTCACCTATGAAATGGGCTAGCTCTGGCCCCAGTGCGTGCATGGAGGAGGGCTCAGTTCTGGAGGGTCAGAGGAAGGGACCCAGGAGGGCCAGCCTTACACTTTCCCCCAGGAGGAGGTCTTTTGGCCCTGCCCTGAGCAGGCAGCCACCCTCTCTGGGCACAAGGTGCCCCCTCCTACCTAAGAAACCACTACAGTGACTGGATCCTGTGGCTTCCTATACAAATCGCTCCTTAATTTCCCAGGATTTCTTAGACATTGGGAAGAGTTAGCGCTACATACAGGCTAGGTTGGGGGCATAGCAGCATGTAGGTGGGGCAGGGGCCATCCTCAGAGCCACTGACAGGCCCTCCACAGCCAGGCCACGGCTCCATGCAAGGTCCATGGGATGGGTGGGGTGGAGTTGCCAGATGTCCAGGCCCTGAAGTACACACAAATGGTGGCCCAGGGAGCCAGCCGAGGGAGAGGGCTGCAGGCGGTAGAGGTGTGGAGTGGGCTCTGGGTGGTGCCTATTTCATGCCACTGCGCAGCACCTGGTTGGCCGCGATGAGCATGACGCTGATGATGAAGGCGATAGCGAAGGCGCAAATCAGACTCTTGCGCACGCACGTCTGACGGATCTGCTGGTTGGAGCAAGCTGTGGCCGCCCGCCAGGAGCAGCAGGGAATGGGGGAGACAGAAGGGGACATTGAAGTGGTAGAGTCAGGACTTTTTCCACGGGGCACACTGGGACAGAGACTTGAGACAGGCAAGAGCGCCCCCCAGCCCCTCTCTACAAATCCCTGGTATGTTCCCCTGCTCAAGCAGCTGGGCCCACCCATGGGATTCTGGGGGCCACTTACTCTCCACGTCCACAGGGCACTCCTCAGCTGTGCCCAGGTGGCTCTCCTCTTCTGTCATGATGATGTTCTCTATGTCCTTCATGGATAGGTGCTCACAGAAGGTGTCATAGAGCAGCCGCTTCAGCTCATCCACTGTCAGCTTCTGCATGTCGCACTTAGGAAGGGACACAGTGCTCTGGCCGACGCCACAGTCCCCACCCTGCAGCCACATGGGCCCAGTGACAGACCTCCTGATTCTGGAGGGCTGGAAACCACTTTCTGCCTTCCCTACCAACACCAGCCCTTCTCTATGCACCCACTGGGGCCAGAGCCAGCCCATTTCATAGGTGAGGAGCCTGAGGCTCAGAGGGCCGGAGATTTGGCCTCAGTTCCCACTTCAACAGGGATTTGTCGGAAGGGGAGAAGTTGGTAGAAAATGGGGTATCTGAGGTGACCCTGCAGTCTCCCCATATTCTGCCCCTCCCCCCAGAGAGCCCAAGACATCTAGTAGACTAAAGAATGGTGTGGTAATTTCCCCTTTAAAGTGTGGGCCCAGCCATTCACTGGCCCCAGAAAGGCTCTCCACAATGTGCAAAGCCCTGGGTCCCAACCAGCCAGGACATACCTTCCAGAAGACTGTGTCAAAGTCAGTGCCATGGAACTTCTCTGGGATCCCCGAAGTAGACAGCTTGGGTCCTAGGAGGGTAACAAACTCTTCAAAGTCCACTTGACCATCACCTAGTACAGAGAGGATCAATCAGCAAGTCAAGCCAAGACCCAGCCCAGGCAGGCAGCCCAGGGCCCATCTCAGCCTCACCAGTGACTCAGGCAGGTGCCTGCCTTCTGTGAGCCTTGAGTCAATTTCAGGGGCACCCAAAATGTACCACCCTTTGGGCTAATGTTGAAGCCACCAAATGTGATGAGGGCCCCCAGGGAAGAGGGAAGTAGAGCGCTGCAGGTGATCCCTGACCCTCTCATTTCCTTCCATAGCTCCCCAGCACCCTGTTGTCCCAGGCTGGTATGGGGCCCGAACAGTCCACTGGTCCACCATACAGATAGCAAATAAAGCTTAGGACGGGAACAACCCACCCAAGCTGTCATCTGCTCTCTGGATAGAGAGGAGGCCACAGGTGGGATAAAGAAGAGAGGATTTGGTATTACTGGTTCTTCTTGGAATTTTTCCTTAATAAAATGCCAGTATAGTGAAATTATTGATTTCACGCAGGGTGGTGGGACCTGGGCTATTTAGTAAAAAGTAGTAACTTTTCTACTTTTCTAAACTTTAAAATTTGTCAGAAGACAAAGTGAGAGGAGCAGTCTCTAACCCCTGTGTATGACCAGGACTGTCACAACTTCTCTGGCCTCAATTCTCCAGGCTGGGAAATGGGACCAGACTTGTCTGTAACCTGCCATAAGCTTTGGGGTCGCTCCAAGTGGAGGGAATAAAGAGACCCAAGATGGGCTCACCTCAGTGGCTCAAGCCTAGACCCTGCCTAACCCCTGGAGCCCAGGTGACAGGTGGGGAAACTGAGGCAGCACTCACCATCCATGTCCAGCCTCTGAATGATGACCTCAAGCTCTACCTCGTTGGGCATGTAGCCCAGAGAGCGCATGGCTGTGCCCAGCTCCTGCTTGGAGATGAACCCATTGCCGTCACGGTCAAACACCTTGAAGGCCTCACGGATCTCTGTGGAGAGAGCAGAGCAGACTGGAACCTTACTCCTGCCCCCAACACCCGACTTCCCACCCACAGGATGGTCAAATTCACAGGCTGAGCACAGTATTGAGACTCCGACCCAGAGCCTGAGGATCTGAGGATGGCCCCAGAGTGCATTAATGGTACTGCAGTGGTGCCAACCATGGGCCTGAAGCCTGCAGCAGTGACCCCCCCTCAGGGTCTGAGTGTGCCAGGCTCTAGCAGAATCTCCTGGTATGCTCACCGGGAACCCCATGTGGTGGAGGACACTGGGACTGGCCAGGGGAAGGCTTCTCACCTCCATCTTTGCACTCCTGCTCTCCCCTGTCCCTATCCCATGGGCTTCCCTCCCCACCCCCGGGCTTAGCTCCTTAATACTGGCTAACACTTGCTGGCTAACCACAGCCATGGCAGTCACATGAGGCAGCAGTAGCTTCAAACCTTTGGTAGGTGGGTATCATGTGCTGCTTCCTGGTTTGGGGGAAGACAGGTGGGATGGAGGGGCGCCACCAGGCCCACATGGATCAGATGTAGGGGCCGGCCCCCTTTTGTACAGAGAGGAGACTGAGGTCTGAGGACCTGCATGATGTAGGAGTGGGAAGTAATGCACTCAGGAGCTGGGTGCCTGGGAACAAGGAACCCAGTGCATAACATTGGGCTGGCCTCAGTTATATCCACAGTAAAATGGGCAGATTGATGTGGGGACAACAGAGTTTTATCAAAGACTCCCAGGGACTATTGAGGGGTCCTAACCTCTACCTTTGCTCTACTCTGTCTCTCTGCAGCAGTCCCTTATTCATCACAGCCACAAAGAGCATCTGCCTTTGGGGATGGGGGATCTCAATCCAGTCACTCCAACTCTGTGGGGGTCTCCTTTTGCTTTTGTCTAACCTCTTCCCCTGTGCAGGATTTTGGCAGACAGAGTGGAGCTCCTGGAGAGAGAGAGATAGAGTGTATGTGTGTGTGTGTTTAGAGGTAGTGAGAGGCCAGGCACAGTGGCTCATGCCTGTAATCCTAGCACTCTGGAAGGCCAAGGCTGGTAGAGTGCTTGAGCTCAGGAATTCAAGTCCACCCTGAACAAGAGCAAGTCTCTATTAAAAATAGAAAAAAATTCCTGGGCATTGTGGTGGGTGCCTATAGACCCAGCTACTCATGAGGCTAAGGCAAGAAGATCACTTGAGCCCAAGAGTTTGAGGATGCTGTGAGCTATGACACCACAGCACTTTACCCATGATGGCAGACTGAGTCTGTCTCCAAAAAAATAAATAAATAAATAGGGGGCTGGGCACAGTGGCTCATACCTATAATCCTAGCATTCTGGGAGGCTGAGCTGGGCAGCTTGCTTGAGTTCAGGAGTTCAAGACCAGCCTGAGGAAGAGCAAGACCCCTAAAAATAGCCGGGCATTGTGGCAGGTGCCTGTAGTCCCAGCTACTTGGGAGGCTGAGACAAGTGGATCACTTAATCCCAAGAATTTGAGGTTGCTGTGAGCTATGATGCTACAGCACTCTACAGAGAGGGACAAAGTGAAACTCTGTCTTAAAAATAAAAAAACAGAAGTAGTGAGAGACAAGGTATCCTGTGCTACAGACCCAGAAACTGAGGCCCAGAGGGGCTAAGCAGCCAGCCAGGAGTCAGCACTGGGTCAAGGCTGTTTCTCCTGCTGGAGCTAGCCCAGGCCTTGCCATAAAGGGTCTGTGAACCCTGAAATTACTCATAGGATCCTGTACCTTGGGGTCATTTCGTGGTCTCAGGGGCACTGGGGACCCGACCCAGCGTATTGGTCCCATCACAGACTAGGAGTCATGGCCTAGAGAGGGCAGCCTTGTGTTCAAGGATACATAGCAAGGCTCTTCCCAGCTGGTGTCTGCACCCAAGGCCTAAAGGTCAGTCTGACTTACCTGCCAGCCAAGACAGACTAACAGTGGGCTGCACCCGAGTTGCCTGGGCCCCTGCATCCTCTGACTCTGGACTTCACCTTGCTTATCCCAGGTAGGGCCTAAGAATCTGGTGTCCTAACCAGTGGCCCCAGGGCCAGGGAAGCAACAGGGCTGAGAGGTCTGGGCCACACTATTGCTCTCCTGGCCCAGCTGCAGGGTCTATCCACCCCAAGTGTCCTTAACTCCAACCCTACAGACCATCTTGGAGCTGGTGGCACCAGGCCTGCTTCATCTCTGAGGCTGTGAACATGTAGCTCTATTCACCTGGAACACCCTTTCCCTCTCTGCAGCAAACTCCGATGTGAGCCAGGGTCTCAGCTTAGACAGCACCATCTTCCCAGTGCCCTCTCTGCCACCGCTGACTCTGGCCTTCCTCTGGAACCCCACAGACCTGCTCTTCACTGGTCCTTACACAGACCACACTGAATTATGGACCATGAGGACAAAGACAACTTTGTCTCCATTAGCTATAACAGGGCCTGTCATCCAAGCATAAAACATTTGCTGAGTGAACGATAAATGAATGAATGACTGACTGGTCTGGGGAACCCACCCATCCGGAACATACAGAGTTCTCCTGCTCTCCTGAGCAGAAATCCACACACCACTCGACATGAGGCTGTCACTAGAAGCCCGCTAACCAGCCCACTAGGGGGAAGGTCTACCTTCTACTCCCCCAGAACCCAGGAAGCATGAGGACCCCCACCCCCAGAAGAGAGGAATCAAGTTGAAGGTGGTGGTGTGAGAGCATCCTTGGACCTCCGGGTCAGGGGCTGTTTGAGGGACAGGGGACCTGGAGTCAGGCACTATACCTCTCTGAGCCCTTGGCTTCCCCCTGTAGAGACCCACTGGGAGACTGCAGGGTGGAATGGGAGAGTCTCTACAGTGGGAGCCTCCCCCTTCCCGGCCATGAGCAGATCTCCAGGCTACCCCACCAACCCAGGAGTGGCCACATGTGGCTCCAAGATCCCAGGGCTTCTTTGCTGGAGGCCCTGAGGAAACACTTTGACCCAGGCAGTGCTGTAGCTCAGTGAGTAGGGCGCTGGCCACACATACCGAGGGTGGTGGGTTCTAACCCAGCCCTGACCAAACCACAACAAAAAGATAGCTGGGCACTGTGGCAGGCGCCTGTAGTCCCAGCTACTTGGAAAGCTGAGGCAAGAGAATTGCCTAAGCCCAAGAGCTGGAGGTTGCTGTGAGCTGTGACGCCATAGCACTCTACCAAGGGCAATAAAGTGAAACTCTGTCTCTAAAAAAAAAAAAAAATGCACTGGCCAGAGGGGAGGAAAAATCTTGGGGTATATGGGCAGGTGACAGGCTCTGAGGCAGCCCTGTTGGCTCCACAGCCATTTCTCAGGCAAGGATAACCTCCCCAGGCTGCTAGGTAAATCCACAGACTGCCACCTCCCCACTCGGGCATCCCCCTGCAACTACTACTTTTTGGCATACCCAGCTCACACCATTACGGTGAGCCTTTGCCCATGCTCAGAGCCCTGCCCTAGCCCCAGCTGATTACCTACTAGCCTATTGAGGCCAAGTTCAGGCCCCATTATCTCAGCCATGGAGATAGCTGAAGTTGCAGAGACCAAGGGTTAAATCCTCCCTCTCCTACGTGTTGGCCCGGTGACCTTGAGCAGGTATTTGCCCACCTATACAAAGTGGCTACTGGGATGATTAAGCAAGAAAATCAAGCATGTGTATGACCAGGCCTGGCTCAGAGATGGACACTATAAATCAGAGTGTCCCTGATGGCAGAAGGAGAAGGAGGACTAAGCAAACTCAGGACACCAGGCCAGTCTTCCCATTGGCTGGTGCCAGGACCAGAGGCTCATTCTTGGATTCTGGCTCAGTCGCTTAGCAGTCAAGTGACCTAGGCAAGACACTTCCCACTCTCAGCCTCAGGTGCCTCATCTGTGTAATGATAATCAGACTCCTGCACCCTAGCCAAAGCCTGGCCTCTCTTGAGGGCTCCCTGAGCAGGTAGGTGTTATGGCTTCCTGTCACTGCTGTGCCATCAGCACATAACAGCTGGGTGCATTTCCCTGAAAGCTTTGCTTCCTTTCCAGCCCAGAAGCCCTAGGAATGGACTAGTAGGACCACCAGGACTGATGCTGTCCCCACCTGCTGACATCCCGCAATCTCCTTCCCAACCTGCGGAGCTTTGTCAGGGCCTGAGTCCCCAGCAATCCCCAAGGGACACCAGCACTCTGTCAGAGCCAGAGTCCAGGGAGAGGGAAGCATCAGCTGGAGGCCACAGAGGGGGCACTGTCCATCCTCTGCAGTGACTGCCACTCTCCGTGGCATTGGCCCCATGCCCCACTACTTCAGCCTCCCTGAGTTTCTAGCCTGTGCGGAGGCAGCTGTTGGGCTTGCAGGGAAGAAAAGCAGGAAAGCTTTTCGTGACCTCCCCTGCCCCAAAGGCTCCCAGTCTCAACACAGGTCCCACTGTCTGTCCACCCCCTGCGTCCTAGGCTGGCCAAATGCTGACTCTAGAACCCTGCCCTGGTGGTGTCTACCTGACTGTCTAACCCTTTCCTCCTCTCTGGCCAGAAAGGGCTAAGGCTTGTAGCCACCCCCTTTCCACTCCCAGGTGCTCAAGTACACTGATGCTGCTGGGGCCAGACTCAGTACCCTGGAGGATTCTGCCATGCGTGCATGGGCGGGGGGGGGCAGGGGCATCCCAGCCATCGCCTAGGAGAGCTCGTGTCTCTCCCTCCCAGGGGCTGGGTGGGCCTGAGGCCAGCTCTGCCCTGCCACCTCCTTACCCTGTCAACTGCCATCCACATCTCCCTAGGGCCACAGGTCCCCTAGGAGCCTCTGCCAAACCTTCAAGACCTTTTCCATCAGCCCTGTCCCTCAGCACACCCTGCACCCCTGCCTCATGGGCCCTACAAGTTCTAGGCTCTTACCCTTGCGAAACCTGCCCTGATGCTGCATCTAGGTCTGAGAGCACCACTGCTAGGCCCTGTGCTGAGTACTTCTTCTGTGTCCTCTGTCCCCAACCCCGCTTTACGTGTGGGGAAACAGGCTTAGGCATGGGCCAGCATGCCTGAGAGGCACATGATTGCCCAAGGTCACTCTATGAGCTGAGAGTGCAGTGACTCGAACCCAGAGCTGCCTAGCCAGGAAGCCCTCATCTTCACTGCACTCCCTACTACCCTGGCTGGTCCTCCTCCTCCTCAGACTGACCGCCCCCTGGATTCCTGCGGCAGGCACGTACTGTCTGCAGCATTTCATCCCAGCCTGCCTGGCTCCCTCTTTCTGGTACATTTGGCTCCCTTAGTGATGGCATCCTCCCAGCTGAGGGCCTGGGTCTCACCCAGACTGCCCTGGGGCAGGAGTACTCTTGGAGCACTGGGATCTGTGCTAGGGATGGCCACTCTCTCCACCCAACCCTGGCCTTCAAGAATCACTGCAAGGGGCCTGGGGCCTGCAGAGGGCTTTTGGGGTACGTGTAGCCAAGAAGAAGGTATGCCTTCCTCTGGAGCTGCCTACCGGCCAAAAGAATGAGCTGGAGCCACCCAGGTATCTGCCTGCTCCACAGGCCCCATCTATCTGCCCCAGGGAGGGCCCTGCCCTTCAGATGCCCTCTCCATCAGGGCCCCTCTGCTCCCCAGGGCCCCAGAGAAGGGGACAGGAGAGAAGCGGGGAGTGCATTTGGTGTGGCTGGTGACTAACGCCACTGAGCTCCTGCCAGCGCATCAGCTGGGCTGCCCAAGAGAAGCCTGAGGCCTCTGCCCTGCACTGCTCAACCTGTGCCCCACTCGCCCCTGCACTTGGCCTCCTCAGCTTCTCCCCTTCTTCGGGTTGTGCACAGGACTTGGGCATCTGGAGAGAATCAAGTGAATGAGGCCTAGATCAGGGGTGCCAGGGTCATGGTGGGGGTGCTGGAAGCAAGTAGATTAAATGAACTGGGGTCTAGGAGACATGCTGACCCATACCTGAATGACCAGGAGGAAGGGATGGATGAGAGCCTTGGGAGAGAGAAATTGGCAGAAGGTTTGGTGTTATCTAGGCATGAGAGGATGAGAGTGGGGAAGAGATGGCCTGCACCCGGTCCCTTGCCTTCTCGGTCCCCATCAGATCCCCTCTAGTGCCCTGGAGAAGGCTCTGGACCCTGGGCTTTGGCCCAGACAGGGTGGAACCTGAGCTTTGGAGGTGAACAGTGAGGTCAAGTGAGGAGTACGGCACCCCTCCATCTGTCTTCCTGGCGGCAAACCCAGAGCCTGTCTCCATGGCTCTCCTGGCATCTGAGGTTTTTGTGGGGGGCAGTATGTGAGGAGCAGGTGGCTTGTGCCCTGTGGTGCAGTGAGCGTGGTGGTGGCCACCTTCTCTGGATCTTACCCCTGACCCCAGTCTGCCCCCACCTTGGCCTGCGAATGAGGAAGGATCTCTCTCCATGGCATCCCCTGGATTCCCACCATCATCTCTGATTGCCGCTGCTCTCCTAGCTACACCCCTATAGGCCTTGATGAACCCCCAGATCTCAGAGACCCCTGAACCCAAGGTTCCCAGAGAGAGGTCCATCCTCTGGGTGACAGCCCCTCCCCCACAGCAGACAAGAAGATCCCAGGAGGCTAGAGTCCCCCACTCCACTCTATATGGGGCCCCAGGAGGTCTGGGGGGAGGGGAAGCTGAGCACCTTCCCATAGGCCCTCAGGGGCTCACCTATCCCCAGGACGCCCCGTTCGGGGACCCCAGACCCAGCCCTCTCTCTTCTCTGCTCTGCTCTGTTCTGCTCTGCTCTTTCTTAGCCACTGCCTGCGGGCCCCTTTCATATCTGAGAGGCAGAGGAACTGGGGCAGGTTTGGGTCCTGGTCTCTGCCTTTTCGTTCCAGGCTGGGCTATCGCGACCAAGTCGCCCAATCCGGCCACTTGTTGTCGCCACCACCTCTCCGGCCGCCTTCCTGGTGCCCTGGGCTGGGGGGCCCCACAGGGATGCGGAAAAGGGGCTACAGCTGCAGGTGGGGATGGGGACAGCCCCCGCAGCAGCCAAGAGCCGGGCAGTCGCCCTCTCCCCTTCTACGGCTGCCCAAGCAGATTGGATTTTTAAAGCGACACGAGCGGAATGTCAATACCAGCACAGAGCCGCGGGCAGGCACCGCGGAGGGGATCAGGATGCGGGTGCTCCGGCCAGACCTGCGCAGGGGGCGCAGCTCGGACCCCCCACCCCAGTCCGCCGCGTTGCCGCACCCTCACCGCGGGCTGCGCGGCCCCGTGACCCCGCTGCGGGGCCCGGCAAGTTTCCGCAGCGCTGGGGGCCACGCGAACAGGGGCTGAGCCGCCCCTCCGCCTCGGCAACCCCTAGCGCAGCGCCCAGGGGTGCGGGCTGGTCCTGCCTCCCCGCGCAGCTGCTAGCTGGAGCGCCCACCTGGCAGCCGGCACCTGCTGACGGCCCCCAGTCCCCTGCACCCCAGCCCGTGCTTCACCTGGACGCACAGGTAGGAGGGCCGGCGGGCAGGGGTCCCGGCGGGCACTCACCCTCCAGTTCGTCCTCGGGGATATCCACTGGGCGCTGCTCCGACAGCAGGTTGGGCACGGTGTAGATGCCCCGGTACATCAACGCCGCCGTCACCGGGTGGAACGGCATCTTGGAGGCTCCGCGCCCGCCCGCCCGCCGCAAACTTTGAGGCCGGGGCTCATGGGCCGCTGGCGGCCCAG